CAAGGACTGTGGCTGAGTTTGATTTTTGTTTTGTTTTTTTTTTTATGTATCTGAGCATTAGGTGGCAGTGCTTCCATCATTATGGTCATATCTGTTCCTGGTGTGGTAATATTAGCACTCCTGAGCTGTGCTCCATAGCATTCTGTCAGCATATTTATAACACACTGGAGCAAGTCATCAACACCATTGTCTTGCTGTGTGAGCTTCCCACCATTCCATCTTCCTGCTCTCAGAGGTCTCGTTGTGAGGCTATCATCCTAGTAATGCCTTGGCCAGGAAGTCCTGACTATTCTTTTGTGTGTTCACAGATTTCTGCAAAGCACTTTTATTCGCAGACTTTTGGGGTCTTAGTGCCTGGCCAGGGAGTCTTAGGCTTTAATTCATTGCTGTATGGTGTAGGGAACAGTACACAGGTTTGTAGTTGGATATATTGGTCTCTTGTCTGGCCTCTGTGGATTATTACAGTGGTTTTTCAACTTGGCTGCACATTGGATTTGGTAGGAAGACTTAAAAACAACGTGTATACTGGCTCCTACTCTAGAGACTATAATTTAATTGGCCTGGTGTAGCCTAACCTTTAAAAACTCCTGAAGTAATTCTACTAATTTGAGACCCACTGACTGTGTAATGAGGAGTTTACTTAATGGTCCTAAGCCTCAAATTTCCTAATATGTAAAATGGGTATAATATTCTATCTCTTATAGCTGTGATGTAAGGATTATAGATAGCATGAGAAGGCTATGTGGCATGATTCTGCAAGCTGGAAAGGCCCCTCTTTCTAAAGACCTTTCTAAAGACCCTCTTTCTACTTCTGCCACACTGCCTCTTCCACCACCAAGATTTGTGCTCTACCCTACAACTTCCCCATTTGATCTGGCTCATCACCACCCCCTGGAAAGGCCATCTTTTGAATTCATGGAAGGACATCTGCCAGCCACTGACCTTCTAAGCTATACCTGTGGAGCCAGGACAGCTCATACATGCAGCAAGCAGTGTTTTAAGGACAAAGCAAACAAAGATCTTGCATAGGGCCAGGATCCTACCTCACTGACATGGCAGATTCTAGACCAGTGATGGTGAATCTTTTAGAGCTTTCAGCATTAAAAACAGCCTGCTGTGGCATGCGTGCCATAGGTTCACCACCACTGCTCTAGACCATGAGTGCTGCCAGCGTCTCCCCAGCACGGTTGGCTTTTCTGCCTACTTTCTCGAGCAATGACCGTGCTCATTGTCCCCTCCAGTACATGGCCTATTCCTCCATTATTAGTCTCCTCACACCCTGCTACACAAACCAAAGCATTCCAGTCTTTAAGAATGACTCAAGCCCTGTCCCTTTCATGAAGCCTAACTTTGCCTCTCAGTGTGAGGTCTGCTGTTCTTCTAGGGAAGTGTCTTTTTGGGCACTAGGTCCTCCCGAATAATTATTTATGAACGTGCCTCATCTCCCCTGCTCAACTATAAGCTCCAAGAGATCAAGGGTACATCTTCATCATCTCTCCATCTCCCCAGCACCTTGAACTGTTAGTCCATATATGGGTGCTCAGAATGTATGTGTTAACTGAGTCAGTGAAAGAAGGATTATATCTTAGTTACTTTCTCATTGCTGGGACAAAATACCTGATACCCACAACTTAAAGAGGGAGAGGTTTTTTAATTTTTTTTTTCTTACACTTACATGTTTAATGTTTTTTTTTTCTAGCAGCCAGGGTAGCACAAAATTATAAGGCAATGTTAAACTGAAGAGAGAGTAATAGATTAGAAAAAGAGATTTTTATATGGCATTAAACCGAGAAATCATTTTTGTTATTAGTACATGTTTGCAATACATGAAGTTTACATTCATCTTGGGTAATTGGTACATGTGCATAATACAGATTGTTTCCTCTTTTATGCCCTTCTCATTCCCACCCCACTCCCTCCTTCTATCTCTAAATCCCCTTTTCCCAGTTTCATTTTTTGCTAATATTATTCTTAGCATATTTATGACATATGATGTTTACATACATTTAGGTTATTATGTGCCTGTACACACATATCTTTTTTTTTGCTTTTTAAAAATCTCTTTATTAATTTTACACATTTTGGAGGTAGGTCAAAATTACCCTCTTGTTGCACATGAGGAAGAGGCACAGTGAGCAAGCATAGTGACTTTTTAGGTTACAAAGAAAATTCAAGATGAAACGATGAAAATTAAAATTCAGATTCAGTGGTTAATGTGTCATGCATGCATCCGTGCAAATCCAATTACAGAGCAATGCCTAGGTAACATTTGGTTTAGAAAACGTGTTATTTTGTGTGAATAAAGTACTTCACTAAGCCTATGGAACCGGAGCATGGAATGGCCCTCTAATAGCATCTAACACACCTCCCTGGTGATCCTCCTGCCTCAGCCTTCCAGAGTTCTGGGATTACAGGCATGTGCCACCAAGCACAGCTGGTTTAGAGCAATCAAATGAATACAGAGCCTTATTAACCCTAAAACTGAACCCAGCTGACACCCAGTATCTTATTTTAACAATCACTTGTATTCCACAAAGGTACTATCATACTTAGAGGTCATTTGATACAAAAATAGATGACATCTTAATCATGTAAAACAAAATATTTATAAAACAAATCGGGTTTAGTGCGAGCAAACCAGAAAAATGTGTATATAAAGGAAATGGAAAATGAAGAAAGTAAGTCAAAGTGTATAGTCACAGCACACATATCTTAATTTTTCTTTCTTTGCCTTCCTCTAAAGAGGGAGAGGTTTATTTTGGCTTACAATTTCAGAAGTTTTAGTCCATGGTTGGCAGGCTCAAATACAGAAGTGACATGGTGAAAGGGCCTGCCACAGAGGAAAGCTACTCATATCCCAGTGGCCAGGAAGCAGAGAAGGGAGAGGTAGGGTAGGGAGATTTACCCTTCAGGTCACACCTCTGGCGACCTGCCTCTTGTGGTTAGGCCCTACCTCTTAACATCACATTCAGCGATAGCATGCCCCCAATCCAAATGCCTTCCAAAAGCCTTGCCTCTGAATACAAGAGAGTTTTGTGGGGATCATTCTTGATCTAAGCCATAACCGATGCCATATGTATTTAAAGTGTATCCCTTCACTTAAAAAAAAAACAGCTTTATGCACAAACTGAAATCTTGAGCTCTTTGTGAGTGCTGAGTTCCTGCTTTACAGTTTTCAAGGCACCTGTACAGTACGGGCCCATAGCAGGTACTCAGTGAGCACTGCTCATCTTGTACCAAAGTAGAGATGTGTACCCCAAAGACCCAAAGGAATGATGTAAAATGGCATGTTTATGACAGTCGCCTGAACAGAGCATGAATGAGGGCTCCACTTGGCTGATTTGGGGGATGGTCTCTGAGAGGGAGTGTATTTGCCCCAGCAAGATCCCTGGGGTCCAAGAAGAAAAATTTAGTACTCTTAGATCCTTATTTTTCAATTGGAAAAATAATAAGTCTTTAACAAATTCTATATAGTTGGCCATGGACTCTACACTTGATCCTGATGGCACACATGGCAGGGACAGTCTCTCAGTTTTGTTTCCATTCAGTAGATCGAAAAATAATCTGGAGTTGTTTGTGTACATATGTAGATTTATGAATTTTATCGTCTAGTTTAGTTTAATCTTCCCAACATTGACAAGTGGCTTAAAAATTACTGCAGAGCAACAGGAATGAAAGCCATTACTAATAATGTAACCAGAAGCAAGTAGCAAGAAAATGGCAAAAATGACCCCTCTCTTACTCTAGTATGCCATCTTGGTTAGCTAGATGACAGGGAGGAAAATGGTAATCTGACAAGGGCGTGTCAATTTTTTTTAATAGTTAAGACTATATGAAATATGGATTTATACCCACTGTTGTTGTATTAACCTAATCCTAATATGTCTTGAAGAATGACAATAATGTTTGAAGGATTAGTGACCTTTGAAAATATTTTTATTTTATCTTTTAAAATGTTTATTTCTGCATTTGTTTAAATATTCCTAATATATTACTTACATTGTTATATACATTAAAACAAACATCTATAGATTGGCATATATAGTGTACAATATTTTTTGAGAAGTGCATAGGTCCCCTACGTTAGAGCAGCCTGCAAACGAGAGTGTGGGTGGTTCGGGGTGAGCTGGTAAGCATCACTCTGTCATCCTGCTGTCAAGTGTCAGATGGACCCAAGAGCAATCTTAGGACTTCGTGTTATTATTCACCATGGTAATGGCACAGCTGAGAGAGGATGGGTCATTAAAAATCCATCATCGCTATTAAGTCAGAAATTAACTCAGGTCACGAATCTGTCTGAGGTCAGGGCATCTTTTGCTTTTAGAAAAAGGCAACACCTAAAATGTAACAGAGATTTAAAAATATGTTTTATGTGCATTACAGAAGCATATGGGATTGTTTATATGTTTGGAAGTGAACAACAACCAAAAACTTGGGAAATTCCTCTTTGTCAAGCATTTTGTTATTTATTTTAACCTCACAATAACCCTGTGAGGTAGGGATCTTCCTCAGTGTACTACAAGGAAAGATAAATTAGAGAGCTTAAGTGACTTCCTTGAGCTTACAGGGTATAAAACCAGGGCGCAAATTTAGATGATTGATATTAGTCAATATTTTGCTGTTAGTTTCTAAAGGCAAAGAATAGGTGTGATTTGTATCAAGTCACTTGTAATTCAGAGGTAGTCACGTTTTCCTGACATGGAAGGCTGGGCAATAGTAAATTCTCTGCCCTGAGAAGGAAAGGAAAATGTACACTCTCAGGCCTGGGGCTGGAATCTTTGTTTCATCCAGCTGTAGTAGGTGGTGAGAGGTAAGCCAATTTTGGTTGTGCTCATTGACATTGTATCATCTCCTGTCATTTCTCAAGTGAAAATGCTGCATTTTTATATGAGTCAGAGGCGTCTCCCTGGAACTTCGCCAATCATTTTTCTGAAGGCATTCTGCAGAGCATCAGATATCGACCCAAAATACAATAAATGTGCATTTCTCTCTGTTAACAGGACCATTGCCAACTATTTGGTGTGGAGAATGGTTTATTCCAGAATTCCAAACCTTAGCAGGCGCTTTCAATATAGGTGGCTGGAATTCTCACGGGTGAGTTTAAGAAAATCGCAATGTTATATCACTAGATAACTTTACATGCCAGAGGAGTCTGTACATGAACTGATCCAATAAAAATCGTTTTGAGGGATGGAACAGAGGGAATTTGTAGCTCAAACTCTACTTTTTAAAGTTACTTTTCATTCAGGTATAACTTACACACACTAAAAGTACATTCAAGCTTTACCTTGATTGTGCTAAATAAAGATATTTATGGTGACATTGTTTCCAAACTCTCCTCCACTTTTCAACTAACTTTTATTTTTCCCAGTGCTGTAAATTGGGTGACTTTAATTATAGTGTTAACATTTGTTAGTGGCATATTTATAATTATCTTTTAAAGTATTTTTACTTATATTTATTTTTAAAATTTTTAACTGATAATAATTGGGATGCTCATGTATATTTGTTTGGGTACAATGTTATGTTTTGATCTATCTAGATATTATAGTAAAGAGTCATACAAGTTAATTAATACATCTATCATCTTACTAATGTGTCTTTTTGTGTTGAAAGCATTAAAATTTATTTTAGCAAATTTGAAACATACGATTACTATTACTGTGTGTATATTATCACTGTGTACAGGAAAGCACATTCAGTATTTTCTCATTTATATGTGGAATCTAAAATAGCTTTCTAATAGAGGCAGACAAATTCTATATGGTCTCATGTATATATGAGATCTAAAATAGTTATCTCTTAGAAACATAGTAGAATGGTGATGAGCAGAGGCTGGAGAAGGGAGGGCTGGGGAAAGGGGAGATATTGACCAAAGAGTACAAAGTTCCAGCTGGACTGGAGGAACACAGTTTCTCGATCAGTTGCATCAGACTATCTTTTCAGTGTTCTGAATATTCAAAATGTACATGATATATTATTAGATTATAAGTTTCATTTTTAATTTGGGGTTATAATTTTGTTTTTAATACTACTTAAGTCTTTCATCTTGAGTCTATCCGAATTCTAGGCCCATGAGACCTACCCCAATTCCATCTCTTTGGAGACCTCACTTAAGTGCGGAAATCGATTTCTTTCTCCCCACTCACCTGACTCTTGAGTCTTTGCTCCTTGGCCGCCCTTACAGCCTCCTAAGTGACACAGATGCTACTCTTATCCATGTTTCTGAGGCTTGCATTTTTGCAGTTCTGCCAGCACTCAAGGATTTGCAGATTTTGTGACTTGGAAAAGTATTTCTTTCTTTTATTTTGGAACTGGGGATGGAACTCAGGACCTTGTGCTTGTGAGGCAGGTGCCATGACATTGAGCTAAATCCCTGGCCCTATTTCACTTTTCTATCAAGTTAAAGTTGTGAATAGCAAATCTTATAAGTTTTGATTTCTTTTTAATAGATATTTTAGTTATTAGCAAAACTAGTTAAGTACAGAAATTCATAGTGGGCCATTGCATTTGAAGAGCAATGCAATTGTTTGGGTACATCTTTGTCCTTTAAAGTCACTAGAATATGAAGTCACTTTATTTATATTTTGAGTTTCTCATAGAAGAGAAACCATGTGATATTTATATCGCAAAATATAAGAGCAAAATAAAAGCTAGATAATAGGAAAGGCAGATAGATCTTTTGGAAACAGGAAGGGGACCAAGAGATGAAGGGGGGAGGGGATGAAAAAAAGAATTAAGGTGTGTTATATGCATGGACCAACTCCCTATGAGGTATGTAACCATTATGTGCTGCAAACATGTACTCATAAAAATTGAAAAACAATAAAGTCATTTTATAGAGGATAGCATAAAATAACTACATATATTTAGGTCATATAAAATTGTTAAGATGCAAAACAAGTAGACTTCTTTGGCATGAGTATATTTTTATCTCTTATGGATTACATAAAAGACAGTACCCAGCTGCTTTCCGCCCCTACTGTGAAGACAATGAGAGAGAGGGAGAGGGAAAGGTGCAAGAAGTAGTGTGTGAGAATTTGAGGTTAGATATAAGGGGATGTTTTTTGAATGTGAAGTGCTAAATATAATCTTAAGTTGCCAAAGAAGGTTGTAGGACCTCTTTCTCTAGAGGTTTTAAAGATAGATTCATCCTTTACCTTTGACAGGGGTCATGTTATCAGAAAGCAGAAGAATAGGTAAACTGAAGCATTAATCACTTTTGCCCTCTTCCAACAACCTGGATCTTACATTGTGCAAGGGGTGCTTTGGCTCACCATCCTCAGAACCTGACTCTGTCCCTGCCTGGCTGCATCTCCAGCCTCCAGGGACAATTTAAATGATATTTTCCCTCTGTTTTCATCCCCACAAGTAAACTTCTGAGCCTTCCAAATCTTGCTTGGAAGTTGCTTACTTGTTTGTAAATGTTTTCTTATAATGGTGTAATGAGAAAAGCGTTTATGTCTGTATTTTACTTGTTTATCAGTGCGTTCTCTGCTGTGACACAGTGTAAATATGCTCCCTAGCTTGGTCATGGTGGGCCATGTTCTCCTGCCCTGCCCTGTTGAGTATACCATAGACAGCCAGGAAACACTGGCTGGCAGGAACTTTGATCACCATTGATCCTAAAGCTTTCCCGCTGGAACTTCAGTTCTTTAATAGACATTAAGTCCTATCTGGACATTTGATTGTGAGCATCCCCTCATATCCCTGCTGAGCACAGAAAAGCTATACCATTCTCCAGATCCTTAGCCTAATGGAAAAAATCAGAAGAAAAGGGGAATTACATTATTTTTCCTCTGTCAAAACATTTTAGTTTTAGATATAACCAGGGAGGAGCAGAATTTTTTTCATCTGATTTCACCTTTGTCCTGCTATCTGACACATATATGTGAGACGTGTTGTGCAAGGTTTTGTAGATGCTTTTCTTTAGGGGGATTGAAGTTTTTTTGGTCATATGTTTTATCCGAATGAAGCTAAAATCAGATCGATTATCTCCCACAGGTAATTCAGGGGACCACAACTTTGCTACCTCAATGGGACAAATGTGTCAATTTTATTGAAAGTGCACTTCCTTATGTTGTTGGAAAAATGTTTGTGGATATACACTTCCAGGAAGATAAGAAGGAGATGGTAAGTGGAACCCCCAGCTGGTTAAACAAAACAAATAAACAACAATAGCAACAAAAAAATGGTGGCAATCTAGCCAGATCTGAGAAGGAGATAATAAGCAGGCCACTGTCAGTCTTCTGGGTGGTAGAGAGCTGTAGGTTTTTTTCTTCTTGGTTCTTTCTACTTCTCAGAGAAATGGGATGAAAGGTCATCAAATGAGAGTGAGATGAGTGAGCAGATAATGAAGGTTGGAGAAGAGAGGAGAAGGTGTGACATATTTATCCAGAGGGATGAAGGAGTAATTTATCTGAGGAAATATTGTATGGCTTCTTGGAGGTAGGCCAGGTCTAGGTCTAGGTGAGGTTCAAGGTCAGAAGTTTAAGGTGGGATGTGCCACCATGGCAACATGTTCTTTTCCATCTGTTTCAGTTGCCTTGGAAGAGAGGGTGATCATTTTTCTTCCAGCTTCATTGAGGTGCATTTGACAAATAAAAATTATATATATTCAAGGTATACAATGTGATGATTTGATATGCATTGTCACCACACCATTCTGTGTTTGTATGTGGTGAGAACTCATTCTACTCTTAGAAAATTTCTGGTATATATTATTAGTAACTTGTCACCATGCTGTATATTAGATCTCTAGAATCCATTCATCTTACAACTGAAAGTTTGTATCCTTTGACCATCATCTCCCTATTTCTCCACTCTCAGCTCCTGGATTCTATGAGTTCAACATTTTAAAAAAGATTATATATGTAAGTGAGAGTAGTATACTGTGTTTGTTTTTGTGTATCTGGATTATATCACTTAGCACAATGTCCTCCAGGTTTATCTACATTCTTGCAAAGTGCAAGATTTCCTTCTATTTCATGGCTGAATAATATTCTACTGTGTGTGTGTGTGTGTGTGTGTGTACATTTTCATGTATTGATGTAAATTTAGGTTCATTCCACCTTTTGGCTATTAACAATACTGCTACAAGGAACATAGGTGTAAAAATGACTCTTTTAAGGTACTGATTTCATTTCCTTTGGATCTATGCCCAGTAGTGAGATGGCTAGATTTTCATCATGGCTATACCAATTTATATTCCCACCAACAATATGCAAGCATATTCTTTTCCCCACACTGTTGGCAATACTAGTTTCTCTTGGCTTTTAAAAAATTTTTGGTACTGCTGGGAATTGAACCCAGAGCCTTCACAATGAACTACGTTCCCAAGACCCCCCCCCCCCCTTTAGATAGGTCCTGCTAAGTCACTAAATTGCTCGGACAGGGCACAAATTTGTGATCTTCCTGTCTCAGCCTCCCAGTGAACTGGGATTATAGGCATGAGCCACCACACCAGGCTCTCTTTCTTGACTTTTTAACAGTAGCCACTCTAACAGGTGTGCGGTAATAGCTTGGTTTTGATTTGTGTTTCTCTGAGAATTAGTGATGTTGAGGTATTTTTACACCTGGAGAGTTTGTATGTCTTTAAAAAAAAAGTATACTCAGGTCTTTTGCCCACTTTTTAATTAAGTTACTACCTTTTGCCATTAAGAGTATGTATTTTGAATTGTAAATGTGGACTTATCCAGGTTTTTTTTTGGGCGGTGGGGGGGGGTACCGGGGATCGAAGTCGGTTATCCAGGTTTTTTAACATGCATTTTCTTTTGATGAATTGTATTTTACAAATGTCATGAAGCAAAATATCCAGGTATAATTATTTAGTAAAAATCCATGTAATCAGATGCAAGTATGTAAGCATCTTGAATGTAGGTAGTTAATAAACACTAGATTCAAAGGCAAAGACATAAAATCTATTAAGTTGTGATCACTCAAAAGATTGATATTATATAGTGATATATAATACAAATTGGTCGGTTTGGAATACCATAAATATAAATACATTTTCCTGAATTAATTTGTTTTTACTGTCTTTGGAGAATTTGTTATGTTTGAGACTTTATATTTGAAACAGAAAGCCCTTTTACAGATAATTTCACAGAGGAATTCATGCTTTATTTCAAAATACTAAATATTCTCCCTGTATACTTTATTTTGCTCCTTGGTTGGAATAAATGGATGGAAAATTCATTAGGTAATCAAGTGGCAACATTATATCTGCAAAAGATATAAAAACAACTAAGGGATAATGAAATATATATGATATATATGGTATATATATATTTTATATATATGGAATATATATATGATATATATATTTTATATATATATGGAATATATATATGGAATATATATATGGGGAGAGAGAAAGAGAGAGGGTTTTTTTGGCAGTAGAAAAGTTTAATGTCAAAAGTATGTGGATTAAATTTACTTTTCTTGGTTTCAGTGCAAAAGTCCTGTATTTATGTGTCAACTTGTGACATTCTGAAATGAAGTTGACTTTAGCAATTTCCCACCTTATTTTGATGTACACAGGGGTCACACATTATTTATGTAGATACTCATCTCTTTTACATAACATTGTCTCCCTTATGCCAAAGCTGTTTGCCTCAGGGAATACTTAAGTTGGAAACTTGTAAGAGAAAAATCTGGCTTTTTACAGCCTTGTTTCAAGGCACCCATCCAAGAACCACCTGGAACCACTGATTTACTTGAAAAACATTCTGTATTATTAGCTACAGTTGAAAGAAAAAGAAAAACAAAAAGATCCCCAATGGGACAAATTTCTGACAGTCTAACTCAGATGAAAGGCTGCCATTGTTTATTTACCAAAAGAGTTTATTAGGCAAATAATACAGTCAGGTTAAACTTCAGGTACTTCTCAGACTTTAATGATTACACGAATTACATGAGGATCTTTTCATTGGTCTTTTTGAGTCGGGTTCAGGGTAGGGGCTAAGAATTTCGCTAACGAGCTCCTAAGGGTGATGCTGCTGCTGCTTCTGTTCTAGGGACCACACTGAATAGCAAGGCTTTCGCCTCATTTGTTTGTTTGCAGAGTTACCACCCAAAACAGAAACCCTAGTGATCGAGGGAGCAGGCCAGTTGACTTGGACAGCAGCACTTCACTCACCAAAACCTATTGCATTAGTGCAAGTAACTGCTTCAATTTTTAGACCATTAAAAGTTTCTGCGATTCAGATTGGTTTAAACGGACTGTACCAAAAGTGTGTAAGGACCTCTAGACTTATGTCCTAACCCCACACCCCTCCAACTATATAGTTTTCCTTTAAAATCTGGTACCTAGGTTTTTCTAGGGGACCGCACTCCTCCTCAGTATCCCTGTTTCCAGAGCCTCTTGATAACAGGGTAAGCTCTACTGCCTTAGTTGGCATCTTCTGTTGTCCATGGTAGGGGAAGAGAGCAATTCACTTCAAGGTTTCCTTTGCAGAGGGGAAGCATCTTCTTTCCCACATCCTTCCACTGCCACACACACCTGGCTCTTACTAACCTATCTACCTACCAGGGTTCCCTTGCAGGAGGAATGGCATGTAGAAAAGGAGAGTCTTAACAGAAAGCCACCTAAAGAGGTCAGATAGAACAATCTCCTGCCTTTTTGATAGTAAGACAGAGCTGTTGGCTGCAAGCTTTGCTTGCATCTAAGGGACAGGCTGGTAGAGTGACAATAGGGAGATGTATAACTCTTTGGACAGCTGTTGTCTTTGTGATCTAAAGTAGCACTATCCAATAGAACTAGACTATGAGCCACATATATAACTTTAAAGTTTTCTAGTAGCCATATTATAAAAGTAAAAGAAAAGAGGTGAAATTAAATTTAATAATATATTTTGTTCAACCCAATATATCAAAGGATATTGTCATTTCAATATAAGATTAATATAAAATTACTAATACAATAGTTAATATGCTTAATTCATACACATGGAAATCCCACGTGTATTTTATACTTATAGTGTATCTCAGTTTGAACTAGCTACATTTCAAGTGTCCAGTCACCACATGTTGCTAAGTGGCTATCATATTGCTAGTCTAAAGATTGGAAAAAAGATCTCTTGAGCTCAGTGTAGCAGGATTTGGCCCCTAAGTGAGAGACTGCTAGTAGCCAGGACTGGGAGGGTGGCATTGTTGATCCCTGGCCAGTGGCATTTCCAGGAGTGCTCTAACGTTAGAGGGGAAGGACTCAAGCAACAGCAGAATTCATGGCCTGGGAAAAGGAATGAGAACTGGAGGCAAAGTGCTGCTTGGTGAGGCTATTTCAGGTTTTCTAGGATACCAGCTTAGAGGAGGAAACAGAATTCTGATCCTACTCTCCAGCTTAGTTATCATTAGCTCAGGGACTACGTGCAGTAGAGTCTGGAGGTGAAAGATATTCAGTGCCTTGGAGGTACAAAGATTTAGTCAAGCCAAAGCCACGGGTTCCAAGCTCAAATACCCTTACAAACAGTGAGTAAAATTAAATAGCATACAGGAGTGAAGCTGACTAAGTGTAGGCAAAAGGGTAAGTGCAATGATACATGGAATTGCTTTTGACCTTGGTGTCTGGAACATAAGAGTGGTAAACCGGGGTGTATTTACTATAAAGGATTCAGCCAAGGCTAGTCTCCAGACAACCGTGTTCATGCAGGAATGCAGGTCTATGGGTACTAGATTTCTGGGTTTTATTATGTATTGTTCATTTTCTCAAAGAGGTCAGAATTCTGAATTTTTATGTGAAATCTCCTGCATTTTAAATCTTAGTACTCTGGAGATCAGAGTAAATCTACACTGACTTTTATATTAACATTCTCCCCCTTTCCCTAGTGTTCAGAAACAAAAATCATAATTCATCTGTCTGAGAACTTCTTTAATTTTTTATCTTATGTAGATAAAGATCATATATAATTTAAAATAGCTTTTGTAGAAAGTTAAACATAGGATAGAAAGTGAGACTCCCCCAGAGAACTGATGATGTGTTGTTACCATAAATGCAAATGATGTTGTCATCCTAAAATGACAAGCCCTAAACCATGTCCTCATAACCTAAATGATGGGAGAAGGATTAGTGTGAGGAGGGTGCCTAAAGCTATCACTTGCAATTTTTTTCTTCTATTTAATTGTTATTTTTG